TCGAGTCCCGCATCGGGCTCCCTGCTCGGCAGGAAGTCTGCTTCTCCCTCTGACCCTCCCCCCTCTCATGCTCTCTCTCTCTCATTCTCTCTCTCTCAAATAAATAAATTTAAAAAAAATATTAAAAAAAAAAGAATTGTTTCATTTGATTCCACCCACCACGGCTGTAAGTCTAAGTAGGGACAGGAAAAGCCTCCTGCCCCCTTCCCCAATTCCAGTCAGTAAAAGAGAACATTCCAATCCTCCTAAGGGGCATTTTCATCCCTCCCACCAACAGTGTCCAGATAAAGAAGAGGTCTCAGGAAATTACTTCGTCACTGGAACCTGGATGAGCTCCCCTGTTTTCTATCCAAATCCTGTCTTCAGAACCGACCTTCCCATGCTTTCTCTCCTTGAGACGTCCACCTCGCATTACCGCTTCCTGTCACATTCCTGCCTGTGGCTGGCACCACGTGCTTGGGAATGTCACAGGAGTCCAACTCATGCTTTCTCTAACCATTCTGCACGTATGTGTCTGCTCCGCTAACGAGACTTTTAGAAAAATATGTTTAGGGAAAAGCTCCCACGGGACTGTGACTTGTAGGAAACAAAGTAGCACGCCAAGTGATGTTTGCAGTCACACACTCCAGTGAACATGGCTGCCTTCGGTGAGAACTGCTAATCTGAGATCAGCTTCAGGAGGCCAGAGAACACAGCATCCTCGTCTGTTAGGAACCTTATTCATTCACTCATTAGCAGAGGTCTGTGACATTCCTACCATGGGTCAGGAACTGTGGTAGGCCCTAGGGCAACAGTGGTGAATGGGATACACATCTATTTCTTCCCTCTCATGGTTTGTAGTGTCGTGGGGAAGGCAGACAAGTAGATGCTCAATAAACACGTGCTACCTGAGGGGCACATTTAAAGAGCAAAAGTGAAATCACAACTTAATCCAATTCCCCCTTATGTGCCAGGCTCTGCACTAGAATTGGACTACAAAGATTAAATAAAATGCAGACTCTGCCCTCAAGAATTTCTATAATCTTCAGTTCTACGATAAATTAAGGTCTACTCTGATCTGCATATGTGGGCAAAACCAGTCTTTTCCGGGTACCTTACCCATGATCTCAAGGGTGTGTTATATGTATGGACTGACACGCCATCAAATCAAATCTGTAAGGCAACTAAATGAAATATGCACCAAAGGCGCAAGTCCTTGCAGTGGGGTGGCTTCCTCTGCCTCGTAGAGATAGAAATTCAAAGGAGCAAAGAAGTAGCCAGGGGCTGGTTCAGTGCAGCGGTGGCCCGTGATGTGCAGGCGACATTCACACTGCCCATCCTTGGGTGAGCACCTGGGGAAAAACAAATCCATCATGCACAAAGGTGGTAATGGGGGGGGCAGGTATAAAATGAAGGCATGGGGGTGCTGAGCTCAATGCCTTCTGAGTTTGGACCCACTCTTTGAATCTATCAATCAGTTGTCTTGAGGAGGAGGTTAGGAGGCCGTGGGCTCCACGTGTCTGGTCTTGAAAAGCCAGTCCAGATCTATGAAACCCAAGTAGCCATTTCTTTCCTCTGATTCTGCTCTAAAGACTGCAAACAGGAGTGTAGGCACCTCTCTTTATAGGGTGGCAAAAAGTTGGTGTTTTAGGCAGGTCAAGTCACACGAGGCATCCATCTTACCACCTCCTGGGATACCCAGGGAGTAGAACTGCTTCTCTCTTCCTTAGGCATATTTCAAGCAAAATAAATCAACTGAGCTGTAGTTAATGTTTCAAGATCATCGCTTTTCAACGCCCTTTTCTTGTCATGGAATAAAGCCCATCGCCGATGACTAAGAGCATATCAGAATAAAATGTGCTTTTATGTGGAAACGTGAGTGAAGACTATAGCCACAGAACTTTGTCATTCATTTGATTGACTTACATATTGGAATAAGCACCTCCAATATCACAGTCGCAGGGAGAACAGCCATGGAGGTGATCTTCCAGTCCCCAGTATCCAGCCTACAAAGAGAAAATGCTCAGCCGCTTCCAGCTATGAAGAGATTTGCTGCTCTAAGTGTACTATTAAAACCAGTGTGATTCAGTTGACTCATGCCAAATAGCCACACAGCCTGGGCAATCACCCAGCATTTCTTGCCTGTGCACTTGGTAGTGATCTTCGAGGACACGTATCTCCCATTTCTGGGACTTGAAATGAGGGGGACAGGCGGGTTGTCTGTGGATGACTCCAAGCTCAGATGCGGTGGCAACTACTGGGTCCTCTAAGAGTATCAATTCCGTCTCCCACTAGGTCACCTAAGGCTGAAGGTCTTTAGCTGATTTGCAACTGCTTTTGCAAAACCAATAGGTTCCCTTATCGCAGAATCCCTAGGGATTTTTACCTCCACAACCCTAAAATGTTTGGGGTAAAAAAAAAAAAAAATCAATCAAGCTGCTTTTGAGATCTTAGTTGAATATTACAGTTCAGCAGGCTCTCTTGCTTATAAATAAGTTGTTTTGGCATAATAAACTCTGCGTGAGAGTCAACTTTGTTTGAGACTTTTTTCATCATTGCAACATCTTGACCTTTATTCAATATAAGCAGCTGGTGAGATACAAACAACTAGTTCTTAAATCTGATAACATTTACTATAAAATGCTAAAAAAAAAAATGCTTCCCCCTCAGATCTCAAGTTAACATGCTCAGACAATTAAAAAATTAAGGTCTTAATAGGCATGGCGCTCTTGTTGGAAACAGGTCTGTTAAGTATCAATATACTTTTTTTTTTTCATTAGCTTGGTAAAATTTTATGCCTGATTTTACTCAAAAAGATTTATTTTAAACATTAAAAGTTGACCTAACTTGTTACAAAACACAGGAAAGGAATTTTGATATTTTTCCCAAAACTAAACTTCAGTTCAGGCAAAACAACGTGCCATGACCGGCCTCACTCAGGATGTGGTTGTTAAAACTCCCCCTGGGCTGGCATGGGGGGAGGTGGGGGGCTCCGCGCAGGTCCCAGGCACCACCGGACACAGGATGCGTGGGCTCAGCCACAATGGACGAGCCCCCACGGGGTGGCCCCTGCTCAGTTATTTTCCTGCATCCTCTCCGTGTTGCCCCCACATGGCCCTGGAGTTGGCCTGGCTCACCTTCCTTCATAATTTCTAGGTCACCTGCCCTGTCTTAGAGAGCTCCCTCTTCGTACATATTTCCTGGCTTTCTTTCCCCACCTCCTGCGCCCCATCCTCTCATGTTTTCAGTAAAATGACTTAAAATATTACCACAAAACTATGTTGTAATAGGCATATGTTTCTTATTTATCAGCTACATTTCTTCAGACACATCAAGGTCACTGTTCTTTTATTAGATTCAGCTTTTTTTTTTTTTCTTTCTTTCTTTGTAAAATGTCACGGGACGAGTTGGATTTGAACTCCCTAACTGCATGATACATTTCTTATGGCATAAAAAAAGGTTTTCTGTTACTAATTTTTAGACATACGTGCTCGTATGTTTAGAGGAGACTGTGAAAAATCCGGGATTTTATTTCCCACAAGAATCTATAATACATGTAATCCTGTGGTTTGGGGGTTTTATTTATTTATTTTTCTAATGAGCTCATCCAAAGTATTTTTTAGGCAAGGAGTGGTAGGGGTGATAAAGGGACTGTATGCGACAGAAGAAAAGACTCCGTGATCTGGTGGGCGGAGAGAGGGGCGGAGATAAATCGTCACATTCTACTGCTTGGCACTTTCGGGAGAACAGCGCATAACACTTCCGACGTCGGTGCCTGGGTGGGTTCAGGCCAATTTGGTAAAAGTTGGTGTGCTGGTGAATGTCTAACAGCCGGCTCTCTCTAGAAGGGTGGGGGCTGATTTCTAGTGTTTGCGGATTTCTGTCGCGTATACAACCTTTCCCAGGGAGGCCTGAAATACATCAGGACAGGAAAGCAATTAACAAGACCGGCTCTCTTCTGGGCAATGGCAGCAGAGATCGGACCCACGACCTACAAGGGCAATCCTAGGCAAATACCTACGGTGCACTCTTCACAGTGTGGTCCCGTGGCGAATGGCTGGCACAAACATCGCCCCGTATCCACATCGCAGGCTGAGAGGGGCAGACTCCCCCAGGGGTTACAGTCACAGGCTGAAAGCACGGCAAACACAATTATTCTCGTTTTTATTGACCCCACTCTTGTCCTGAAGAGCTCACACGGAGCAAAACGCGTGGCCTCAAGAACACAGAGCCCCCGCCAGCCCTGCCTAGTGTCTGGTCCGCACGATTATCGTAGTGCGCGCAACCCCACCCAGGAAAGCCAGGCCCAGACACTTCCAGAGGCCCCATGCAGTTCTGCCGGATGGCACTTAGGAGGAGACAAAGGAAAAGAAGTTGTGCAAGAGGGCGCAGCTGGGACAGTCACCCTGAGTGATGCCGCGGGGTGGGGGGTCGGGGGGGATCAGCTCGCTTAACGCAGGGCAAGGGTTTCTGAGGCTCGTGGCTGTTAGCGATGGCTCCTTTTTTGGCAGATGCATCTAACGTTTCTCTCTCTCCTCTCTCTCCTTACTGCCTTGTTACGTTTTCTTTTCATCGTCTCCCTCCTCTTTCTCTGCCATGCACAGGCATCCCTGAGTTCTGCCTTTGTTGTGAGGCTAAGAAATTTGCTAAGAGCAAGATACACATTTCCCCTGCAGGAAACACCACTGCTTGTAGAAACAACCCAAATGTCCATCGAATGATGAATGGATAGGTCATATATGGAGTATCCACACAATGGAATATTGTTAAGCCATAAAAAGGAACGAAACATTGACACACACTGCAACATGGACGAACCTTGAAAACATGATGCTAAGGGAAAGAAGCCAGTCACAAAGGACCACATATTGGATGATTTCATTTGCCTGAAATGTCCACAGTGGGCAAATCTACAGAGACAGAAAGTGGATTCATGCTTGCCCAGGGCTGGGGGAATGGGGGATGGGGAGATGGTAGCTAAAGGCCATGGGGCTTCTTTACTTTTCTTATGGTAAAATACATGTGACATAAAATTTACCATTTTAAATACACCCACACTGTTTTGCAACTCATCCCCAGGACTCGTCCGTCATCTTGCAAAACTGAAACTCTATGCCCTTTAAACACCATCTCCACCCCTTCCTCCCTCCCCCAGGCCCTTGGCAACCACTACTTTGTGCTTCCATGGACTTGACTGCTCTAGGTACCTCATGGAAGTGGATTGATCATACAGTAGTTGTCCTTTTGTGACCGGCTTACTTCACTGAGCTGAACCTCCTCAAAGTCCGTCCATACTGTTGCATGTGTCAGAGCTTCCTTTTTAAGGCTGAAGAATGTTCTGTTGTATGTATATGCCACGTTTTGCTTGCCCACTCATCCATGGATGGACACTTGGATCGCATCTACTTTTTGGCTATTGTGAATAATGCTGCTATGAACAAGAGTGTACACATCTCTCCAATCTTTTGGGTAGACAGCCAGAAGTAGGCTATCGGACTTCTTTCTGGGGTAATGAAAATGTTCTAAAATTGATTATAGTGGTGGTGACACAACTCTGAATAGACTAGAAATCACTGAATTGTACCTCAAAGGGTGAATTTTATGGTATGTGAATTATATCTCACTGAAGCTGTTACAAAAGAAAAAAAAAAAAACCCACAACATTTGCCCTATTCTGGGAGGGCATCAGGTCAATACTGAACCAGGGGAAACACCTGGGTGTGATGGGGATTGGCTTGATGATATAATTCACTATCCTGGAATTTAATGTTGCCATCAAACTCCAGAAGAATGTAGGATTCTGCATGCTGTTCTCTAAACATGCAAATAATCTATAGTTCCTTATATGAGCAAAAACATAGAGCATGATGCTGTGACCAGAGGGAAATTATTTCCCCAGGATTCCCTGGGGAATCTGCAGCTCTATGAGACCCCAGGCAACTCTAAATTTCTGTGATCCCGGGGCCAACGGTCTCCCCATTTGGCCCCAGAAAATTCCCCATTTGGCCCCAGAAAACTCTTCTTATTTCCCCACAACCTCTCCCTTGGCTCTTTAATTTTTGTCTTCTCTTCGTTAGAGAATATAGGACCAATTCCAGAAGGGGTATGAGAAGAAAGGGGAAAAGTAATTTTAAAGAAGGAAAAAGAAAAGAAACAACCACTTGAAGATTGCTTAAGAAGTCCTCAATCTATGCATAAATGCATAATTTAATTTAACGGATTTGTATAAGAGAGTCCAAGTCCAGACCATTTTTCTAAAGGTTTCGCAACTTGGCATTAAATTTCTTGGCATTGTCCCATGTTTGCCCCAGTGAGGAAATGTGAGCGCCCCCTGCTGGTCCCTTATGATAATCTCAGCTAACCACCAAGAGAAAAATCACCCATTTACTAAAATTTGTGGGAGGTTTGTTTGCATCACTTTAGATAACCCAGAGGATGTCAATACCTTGCGTGTTTTACAATGACCGAATTTTAGGGCTGAAAGAGACAGCCCTAAGCTTTAAAACGCATCCGGGCTGGGGGACAGCAGCTGCTGACTTACGCTGACAGCCCGCGGGGTCTGCGGCGCTCAGCCCGTGGTGGTTGGGCTTGCACTGGTCGCACTTGGCTCCTTCCACGTTCTCCTTGCACAAGCACTGGCCGGCCACAGTCCCCAAAGCAGGATCAGAGTGGCTCACACACATGCCACCCGATAAAGTCCCGTCTGGGTCACATTCACAAGCTGGGGACGCAGACACGCATTATCTTAGTTAATTGCAAATTGCGGGAAACCTGAGATATAAACACAGCATTTTACTCACGTTATAACTATTTTATTTTGTTTAAATAATTAAATACGTTTAAACAACTAGACCAGTGGGCGAAGGCTGTTCAGAAATGTCTCCCAGATCTCGGCCTCTGGAAAATGTTGAACGATTCCATACATACATATGTGTATGCATATATGTATATATATACATATATATATATATATTTTTTAAGGCTTTTAAGTGATTCTAAAGTAAGAGGATCAGAGGAAGACTGCTATTATGAAAACTGGATGTGAAGAGTACATTGATTAGTTTGCGGGGTGATGAAAACATTTTGGAGCTAGGTAGAGATGCTGATCGTACAACTTTGTGCTACTAAATTGTCGTTCATTTTAAAATGGTTAATTTTATGTTATGTCAATTTCACCTCAATGAAAGAAAGATTAAGAGAAGAAAATAAGACTCCAAAGGTGAGAATGAAGTCTAGAGGCAAGTAAGCATGGGATGTTGTAAGGAAATACACAATATATATATTTATATATATAACTTGTATATTTATATATATACAAATATTTACATATATTATTTGTATATAATATAAAATATATTTATATATTATTTATATATTTATATATATAAATACACAAATATACATATATACATATATATGTATATATAATCAAAGGTCGTGAGAGAGTAAGAAGAGAAAAAAACATTACATAAAATATCTACCAAATCTCTGAAATCTGGTTAAGAAAGTAAGTCTGCCCTTCCCCATCACAGAAAAATAAGGATAAATGCTAGCATTCTCTTTAATTCGTCCTGGAAGAAGCACCTTCAAGAAAGAAAGGGGGAGAATAGCAAGAAGGGTTTATATCACCGTTTCCTTTTTGGAAATCTGCTGGCACAGCAAAAGCTGGGATGAAGAGATTCTGCAAAATGAGATGGTCACCTATAGCAAAAGGAGTAACAAAAGCACCACCCCACCCCCACCCCCTTTTCTGTTCAGCGGAAACTTGAACGACTACAGGAAGGAGCACGCTATGAAAAAGGATGCTGATCGTACAACTAATTCCAGAGGGGAGAAGTGATAAAAGGCAGAGAGTGATTTGACTATAAGGAAGAGCTCTCTGACAGTTAGAGCTGCCCTGTAGAGCAGTGACCCCCACATTTTTGAGGGGTAGTGTCCAGGAGAACTTGAAACGGCAGTTGATGTGGCTTTGGTAGAGAGGACAAGTCTGCAGGTAGATAATCAGATGACCACCAGCATCTCTCGTAGCCTCGTGGGGCTGGGTTTCCAAGGGATGCCACTTTTAAGGAATGCAATAAAGATTTAAAAAAATGAATATCCTGATTCTATGAAATAATTATATTCACATTTATACAGGTTTACTTTGGAGGAATAAAAACAAACCCCTTCCATCTAAAGCCGTGTTACGTATGTTTATATAACAACCATTTAGGTTAGTGAGTTTGATGGAAAAAACCTAGTTGTTTGGGGTATTGAAGCAAATATGTGGTTTGTCTTACAGAATCTTTCTATTTTCAACTGTTATTGGATTGTGACTGGTAATAAAATCTTATTACAGAAAAACAGCATTTGGTTCTGTTCAGTTTGGGGAAAACCAGAAGAAGCGCAATAAAATTTCTCAGCATCACACAACTTAACTCCAGCAAAATCACATTATGAGTGGTTGAATCTACCAAATCTTTGTGTGTTTTCCTGTACCACATTTGACTGTGTTTTAATCACAGAAGACTTAAAATTAGTCATCCCTTAGGCCTGGAATCTGATTATGTAAATATTTAGGCTCAAACAAGGACAATTCAGAGAAAATTTATATGAGACTGCTGGTCAGTCTTAATAAATGCCATTTGTACACACATAATCCCACACACATAAACATGTGTTTAGGGAAACTGGGGAGCCTCATGGAGGTTGTTTTACAAGCTCCTCATTTGCCTTTCCTTAAAAAAAAAAAAAAAACAGCTCCTTGTTTATAAAGAACGACTTCTTAATTTCATGTCTGGGTACTAGTTTTCTTAGTTTCCTTCAGAAGTGCCATCATTAATTCTAAGCAGTTTTTTTTTTTTTAAAGATTTTATTTATTTATTTGAGTGAGAGAGCGAGCAAGAGCAAGTAAGAGAGAGCACAAGCAGGGGGAGTGGCTGAGGGAGAAGCCAACTCACTGCTGAGCAGGGAGCCCGGGATCATGACCTGAGCTGAAGGCAGACGCTTAACTGACTGAGCCACCCAGGCGCCCCAATACTAAGTGGTTTTTAAGGAACAAGACTTTGGTTGACGTGACTATCTGGCTTAGTTACTTCCAGTCTCTTTCCAGATTCCTAGATTATCTGTTTCAAAACATTATATTTCCCTCTGATTCTACCTAAGAGAGCAATTTCTTCTTCTTTTATAAATGAATAGGGTTTAAAATATTAATAACATATTTTGCATGTGCGTGTGCGTGTGCGTGTGTGTGTGTTGTGTGTGTGTGTAAGGCAGTGGGGGTGGATTATAGATTCTGGTAAAAAAAATGTAGGACACTTAGGACACTGATTTAAAGAAATGTTTTTTCTAAGAATTCAGTTCTTTGTATCAATTTTAAACAGGTCATGTAAGGGAAAATGTTATGCAGTCAGGTACCTACTAAGTTATCTTTTTTTAAACATTTTTAAATTTAAATTCAATTAATTAACATATATTATTGGTTTCAGAGGTACAGGCCTGTAATTCATCAGTCTTATATAATATCCAATGCTCATTACATCACATGCCCTCCTTAATGTCCATCACCCAGTTACCCCATCCCTACACCCCCCCACTAAGTAATCTGAACAAAAACTTCATTTATGCTTTTCCTACATTGTGAGGATTTAAAGTGAAATCTAGGATATTGTATACATTCAGGTGGCTATGAATTACTTCTGTATATGACTTTATTTTATGTGTTATGATTATATAAAGTTTGAAGTTGTAGTTTTATAGCAAACCCCTCCCCCCAAAATAACAAGATATTGATGATATCGCCTAAGAAGCAGGATTTCTGGGTCTTGGGAGAGGCAACCTTCCACGGGCCCTGGGCATCTGAACGTTTTTTGCTGAGTGTGCCAACAATGCAAGGCCCTGACTGCTCTTCACCAGGGCCATTTCTCAAGGTTGTGCTTCCGGCAAGCTACCTTGAGGGATGAGGTAACCTCTTCCCCTGGACAAAGAACAGGCATGCTTCCCCTTGCTATAAAAGCAATGAATCCCCCAAGCTCAGTGTTCCTTGGCTGTAGCATAAACTCATTCGGTATGCGGATCCACCTGGCATCCTTTGAATTGCCCCAGGGGACTCAGGGCTTAGGGACATGGGAACATACACCAATACAAGCATCTTGTTGCTTGCTGTGTCATGGGTAATGAAGTCCTTTGTCTTTCACCCGGGAGTTTCAGGTCTTCCACCAGCATCCATGAAACAGTAACAAGCTCCTTGTCAGTCTGTGAGTAGAGTAAAACCTCAGACCCAGGAACTGGCACGTGGTATTGGAAATCAAGTTGGAGTATTTATCTATGCAGTAATTGACAGCAGTGCTGGGACTGGAGTGAGACAAGCAAGGTGCCTAGGGTATAAAACTTAAGGAGCTGCTCACTGCCAGCTTAGTGCAAGTGCTAGGTGTCAACCCCACATTTACGTCACTCAGAGAGACAGAGAGACCTTCCTGAAGTGTTGGGACCTGGGTGCTTGGCTTGTCTCGCTCTAGTCTCATTCCTGCAGGGACGTTCAAATGAAAATAATGATGAGATAACTTTTCATTAGCAAAAATTGAAGTGTGACAAAACCCAGGGTTGGCCAAGACACAGAGCAACGGGAACACTCACATGCTGCTGGTGTGGGTGTTAATTGGTACCCCCACTTAGGGAACAAAGCAGTACCACGTAATTGGTTTGACAAAGTTCATACCCTATGGTCCAGTAATTCCACTTCTCGGTATGGGTCTTAGGGACAGGATTTGTGCATGTGCACAAGGCCACATATACAAGAATGTTTTTTGAAGCATCAAAAGAAAAATGGCCAAATAGATTTTGTCATACTTAGAGAAAGAAAGAGCTCTATACAGATATTACCTACAGATATTAAAACTGGAGACTGAGGGCTGCCTGATATGGACAAATTGCAAAAATATAATGGACAAAATAATGAAGGATACATACAGTGGGATACCATTTATCTGAAATTTGAAAAAATGCCAACATATATTGTTTGTATACAAGAACATATGAAAGTGTAAAAGCTGGCATTGCAATGATAATTGCCAAATATGTGAGTTTATCCCCAGGAAAGAGGGTAACAAATGGGGCAAGTGTGCGCCTGGGTCCCCAGCAGCGTCTGTAGTGCTTATTAAGGTCCTAAAGATGATAGCATAAGATAGATATGTTTTGACACGGCTGCTGGTGGGCACAAGGTTGCTTATTATATTATTCTCTATTATTTGTATATGCATAAGATATTCCATTTTTAAAAGTTGAGATTAAGGACAAAATGAAAGATTTTTAAAGATTAAAAAAAAATAAATAAAAGAAGCAAGGTAGGCTGCCTGGGTGGCTCAGTCAGGTAAGCCACCGACTCTTGGTTTCAGCTCAGGTCATGGTCTCAGGGTTGTGAGATTGAGCCAAGCATCAGGCTCCGTGCTCAGCATGGAGTCTGCTTAAGATTCTCTCCCTCCACCCCTCTTGCTCGGGCTCTCTCTCTCTCTCTAACGTAAATAAATAAATCTTAAAAAGCTGCAGCAGGGCGCCTGGGTGGCTCAGTTGGTTAAGCGACTGCCTTCGGCTCAGGTCATGATCCTGGAGTCCCTGGATCGAGTCCCGCATTGGGCTCCCTGCTCGGCGGGGAGTCTGCTTCTCCCTCTGACCCTCCCCCCTCTCATGTGCTTGCTCTCTCTCATTCTCTCTCTCTCAAATAAATAAATAAAATCTTTAAAAAAAAAAAAAAGCTGCAGCAGCAGCAAGGTAATGTTAGCTTATCAGCAAAACTGAATTGTCTACAGCCAAAGAAATGTTGCAGCCAATTTCACTATGGATCTTCCTCGACTTAAGGCAGGGCTCTGTCTGATAAACCCATCATAAGCCGAAAATTTCTTAAGTCAAAAATATATTTACTACATCTAACCGACCAAACATCACGGCTTAGTCTAGCCTGCCTTAGCATGCTGACAACACTCACATTGGCTGACAGTTGGGCAAAATCATCCGACACACAGCCTGTTGTATAACGGAGCGTTGCATGTCCGTGTAATTTACTGACTACCGTACTGAAAGTGACAGAGTGGCTGTGTGGGAACAGAATGGCTGTGGGCGGCTTACTGGTTGCGGACCCTCTGGACCAGCGCCACTGACTGGGAGCTGTCCCGCCCAGCATGGGGAGAGAGGGTCGTCCCCTCTCGGCTAGGCTGGGGAAAGATCCAAGTTCAAAATCGCAAGTACGTTTCTACGGAATGCCTGTTGCTCCGGCACGGTGGAGCCAGCCGGCCACGGTAAGCCGGGCGACTGCGTTCGGCCGCTTGCCCCCGCTGACCTCCAGTGCACCCGGTGTCCGCAGCCTCCTCTGAAACCACGCGCCCGCCCCTGGCTCAATCCAGCATAGTTTCCCCACTCACCAGGGGCTACCAGGACGGACCCGGATCATCCGACCCAAACTGCGCTGAGAACGGAAGCTCTCCCCCCGCCACCCCCGGCCCCTAACCCGGGCGCTCTGGGCATGCTGCGCAACCGAGCGGGGGGCTGGCGGCGCAAGGGAGGCCTCTCCGACAGCCTCTGCTCACGTGCGTGGGACAGACAGGCCCGCGGCCGGGGACTCACGGATGCACGCGTGAGGATCGGCCATGGCCTTGAGCGCGTCCCTGTAGAAGAGGGGCCTGCAGCGGTCACAGTGCTGCCCCTCGGTGTGGTGGCGGCAGTCCTCGCACACGCCCCCACTGCGGCCGCCGCTCCGCACATACGCCGTTATGTCGAAGTGACAGCGGTCAGCGTGGCTGTTGCAGCGACAAGCTGAGGAAGGAGACGGGCTATGAGAGATTGGCCGAGGTCTGGGGGACACCGAGCCGCTGGGCCGCGCCAATCACCGCAGCCCTCCTGCCCCTCTATCTCCTGCCACTACCCCGTCTTGTTAGATACACCAAGTATGCACAGATCAGTTTTTTTAAAGATTGTATTTATTTATTTATTTGAGAGTGAGCACTAGAGAGAGCACAAGCTGCGGGGAGAGGCAGAGGGGGAGGGAGAAGAAGACTCCCCCCTGAGCAAGGATCCAGATGGGGGACTCAATCCCAGGACCCTGGGATCGTGACCTGAGCCCAAGGCAGACCCTTAACGCACTGAGCCACAGTGGCGTCCCCAGTACACACAGATTAAAACAGGTGCTTTCAAAGGATCTTCCTAGTGCTCTGATTCTGCCCCTATTCTCTGTAAAATGTGCTCCCTGTGTTTAATATTTGTGTTTTTTTTATATCAAATAAACAAAAGTAAATCATTTGGGTGATCCAGAAGGCCTAGGGTGCAATTTTGTTGTTTTCCAGTAAAGAATACTTTTACTGACTCAGGCTTTGTAAACTTGAATTTTTATATCCCATGTTCTGCAGGTTCAGGGATCCTCAGATAAGATGTCCGAGCTGGGCCCCCGCCTGCTTCTCCATCTCCATGGGCAGAAGAGCCAGAAGGGCGGCTATAGGTCATTCCCATCCCATCTGGGGCTCAGCCAGAGCAACAGAGGGAAAGGACTTTGTTTGTCTTGGTGGTAAAGTCTGTGCTGTGTGCCTTGCTGGGGTTTCCCTGTAAACAGCAAAATCTCAGGCTCCATTTTGCTGGGTCTGCCCACTGTGACTCTCATGGATGGGACGTTTTCATGAGAACTCTTCCCTCACATCCTATCCCCCCTCCCCGTCTGGGAAAAGAAACTGAGTGACAAGTTTGTATGGAAGTTCATCAAAATTCAGAGGCCGTGAACACCTTACAAGAAAACTCTCTACTTTATTAGCCTAAATATTTTACAAAAAATACAATAGCCTGTCAGACTTGGTCCTTATCTTCATCTCTCCTGACATATGTGTTTAGGATCCAGTTCATGAGGGGACGCCTGGGTGGCGTCAGTTAAGCATCTGCCTTCGGCTCAGGTCATGATCCCGGGGTTCTAAGATCAAGCCCCATGTCAGGATCTTTGTTCAGCAGGGAGTCTGTTTCTCCCTCTCCCTCTCTCTCTGCTGCTCCCCCTGCTTGTGCTCTCTCTCTGTCAAATAAATAAATAAAATCTTAAAAAAAAAAAAAGATCCAGTTCATGGAATGTATGAGTATTCAGGAAAACGATAGGGATCTCCGTACCAAACCTGGTATTCACCAGATCCTGGACCAGCCCTGTCCCCAGTGATAGTACCATGACATGGCTCTGCCCCTCCTCCAGAAAGCGACCACACGACATGCATATTGTTTCAGTGTGTAAATTAATGTTCATGTTTGGTGTGAAGACTTGAGAAGTTGGAGGTCATGGGCAACATCAGGATATGCTGGAGCCGGAGCCACAGGTCCATCACCCCCGTCGCCTGCAGCCCCACTGAAATGAACTCAATGGTCTTTTAGGCGGTGCAGAGCACATTGGGTCCAGGCTGAGGGTGTTCCCCGCGTACCTCTGCACGTGCTGTCCTGGTGGCCTGCTCCTGGCCTCCATGGAGCGTCGTGGAAGAAGTCCCTGCACCTCTCACAGTTCGGGCCGTCTGTATGGTGCTAACAGATGCAGCGACCGTGAACCTGCGTGGTGTGGAAAGGGGGCTTTGCTTGGAGGATGCTGGGCTTCGTTACGTGGAAAGTGAACTAGCAGGCCGGGCGCCTCTCTGGGTCTCAGTGTTCCTGGCTAGTGATGGCACCAACCTTGACTAGCTTTTGTTATTGCTTAACCAGCCCTAAAATTTTGAAAAAATTTAAGGTGTTTGGGACACACATTTTTTGGCATTTCTGAGTTCTACTTTTAAAACAACATATTGCAGCCCGCAGCACAAGGACAGACAGAATGGGGAGTGTGTGTACCTGTGTGTGTATGTGTGTGCGTGCGCACGTGTGTGCGCGCACATGTGTGTGCACGTGTACGTGTGCGCATGTGTGTACGTGTGCGCGCATGTACGTGTGTACGTGTGTGCGCACGTGTGTGCACACGCGTGTGTGTACGTGTGTGTGCGTGCGCACAGGGGGTGGCTGAGGAGTGTAAGGGAAAAGAGGGAATTAGAAAACAGAAAGAAACTGGAGAAAAATGTGTGATTCTCTTGGCTTTTCCACAAAATGCCCCGTATGTCCAAGTTCAAAGAGAGAAGTTCTATTTCTAGGGAAATATGAGGTGGCTGACAGGGAAGTATCCCGCCCTGTCTGATTGTGGCTAATAGTTTAAAATTATTTCGCGGACACACCCTTGGGACTCGGCGTTAAAACACAATTCTTCTACTACATCACTCTTTGAAGCCTTGTCCCAAAGCATGGAAGAGATCAGTGCTAGGAACAGTCATTCCCAGGGCAAGAATGTTACTTGGAATGGCCATTTTGACAGTGACAGATTTTAGTCCAACACCCTGGCACGGAGTACAGGCTGTCTCACACAAGAGACCTTCAAGGCATTTTTGTGGGACCACGGGTCCTCGCCACCAAAGCTCCATTCCCTGAAAAGCCAAATAAAACAAAAAGGGAGCAAGATGGGCTCCCGTGAAACCATAAATGATAAATGCTACTCATTAATTAATATCAAAGCCCCCCCCCGGCCCCCCAGCTCCTCCAGCTGGTCCGTCAGGCCAGGTTGAATGACGCCTGCCCCCACATAAAGCTGTCACTTCGATGGTGGACCCCCCTGTAGAGAGTCTGGTCTACAACCAGCAGCAGCACAGCACAGGAAAGGTAAGGGAGCCAGGTGCCCCTTGGGATTGCTCAGTAACTCACCATTCCGGGGGGGCCGAACGCGTCTCCCCGCACCTTCTGCACAGGGCCGCATTCGCTGGCGTGGCCGTTACAAAAACATCTGCCCCGCACCACCATCGTATACAGAGCATAGTAGTAGTTATCAAGGGACTCCTTTTCCCTCCTTCCCAGCAAAGTATCCCCCAGGGTAGGGAGTTTGGTGAAGTTTATCCTCAGGTTTGTTAATGTCACAAGGTCTAGAGAAAGGAAAAGAGCAAAGCAAAGCACACTTAGGAGGCATCAGGTCAAGGCGCTCTCCCGGACTGACATCCCCTTAATGGACTATGGACCCGCAGTGATGAGGAACACTCCTAACGTGAAATTTTAGAAAAGGAATTGGTGCGCAAACGAGAGCGACTCATACCCTGGATGTAGGGGCTGTAAGGGTTTTCTATTTCAAAGCTGGGATCCAGAACTTTTAAAACGACCTGTAAAACAAATATAGGTAAATGTATAAGCATCCTACCCAAAACAGTGTTGTTAAATATAGTCTCAAAGAAGAGATCCTGACCTTACAAAAGGGCTGAGTCACTGCCTCCCTCGGTGGTGTAGGATGCAGATTATTATTTGGGTTCGCACATGAATAAAAGTCCCAAGAATGAAAATGAATGAAAGATCTTAAACAGTCATCCTGGCTCTTTATGCCCAAGTGGTCCATGAAGGCAGAAGCTCTGATAGCTCCTGCCTGGGGTTGGGGTGGAGTGATGGGGTCACAGTTCAGCAGGTCATCATCCATCTGGATCTGGCAGGGAATTCTAGAGCCGACTTCTGCTGCCAATTCTTTCATTCTACATGATAAAATAATACCGCCCAACCCCACTCCTACCCTGACCCTCTGCCAGTCACCAGCTTTGCTCAGAGGAAGCTCCTGGCAGATTCCAGCTGGATGGTGGTTTACAGAGCATGGAGAGAACACAGCTAAGGCAGGGCTGCCACTAGCCTATAGCAAGGGTTAGAAGCAGATGCTCCTTCCTCTGGGGGCCCTGTGCCCCGGCACCCAGCCTGGGGTCTCAGTCCCTGCTCACCCTCAGCTGGGCACTCGTGTGCAGAATTATTTTTCTTTTCTTTCTTAAGTAGGCTCCATGCCCAGCATGGAGCCCAATAAGGGACTTGAACTCATGACTCTGAGATCAAGACCTGAGCTGAGATCAAGAATCAGACGCTCAACTGATAGAGCCATCCAGGTGCCAGTGCAGAGTTATTTCCTATAAGTTATTTACTATTTATCCGAGTTCAAAATGAATGCAGGACTCATTTCAATTTAGACATGTTCATTCTTAAAAAAAAGAAAAAAACAACAGCTTAAGTTCTATTTCAGTAAACACTACCTAAATTGTTTTCATTTAAATGAACCACAGTAGCAAAAAAAAAAAAGGTTTAGTTTCTATCAGAGAAATCCAAGAAAGGAAAGGCTACCTCGTCACCAGTGGAGGGTTCAATATCCGAATATTTGGAGTCACAAACAAGGTCTCCCACTCCCTGGGCCTGGCCCGATGTGATATTAGGAAAGGAAGCAGCACAGTCTTTTGCAAAATATTTGAGTACTTTCCAGGTGTGTCCATAGTCTGCAGAGCGTTCAACTAACATCGCAGCAGGCCGAAAAGTCTAGAAAAACAAGAGGTAAACTTGTAATGGTTCACAAAGGCAGATTTCATTATCCCCTTCAGACTGAACATTTATATTTCCTAATCTCCATTTTTCAAACTTTATTTGTATCTTTGAAAATCTCTCATATAATGAACACACAGAAATCTCTTTCCAATCAGTGGGCAAGCTTTCATGAACATATACTTGCCTCGAATCTGGTTCTGTATAAAAGATGTGTATGGGCTGTGTGAATTACTCATTGAAGAAGGAGAGCATGTCAATTTTTAAAAAGCAACGTGATTGACATTTTATAGCGATTTGCATGTGGTTTTCTTTGACAAGAACACTTTTCTCTGGCAAACTCCTTTAAGATCTACCAGAAAACTTACTCTGATTCCTCAGAGCAGAGTTCACCTCCTTAAGGAGCCCACCAGCATTCTGAACATATGTCAGTTCCTGCACTTACCATTTTGTATTATGATTTTAAATCTCTATGTATGTTTGTATCCTTTACTAGGCGGTGAGCCCTCTGAGGGCAAACACTTGTGGGGTGCTTTTTTTCATTTTTTATTTTCATTTTTTATTACTATAAGTCAGCTTCCAGCCTGATGACAAAATTAGAATTTTGATGAATGATTTGGGAATGACTACAGCACAGGATTTCTCTGACATCTAACTATCCTTAGAAAAGACCCTTTCGTTTTTCTGCCTCTTCTGATCGCAACCTTTCTGTATTTCCCTGAATAATTTCCACTTCCTGCCTTTTTCTCCTTAAAAATATTTTTCTAGTTCTTACAGTCCCTATCACCCCAGTGCTTGGAGTTTTCCTTTCTGCTCTATCTTGTAAGATTTCTGTCTTTCTTTTCTTTTTTTTTTGGTTGACCATCTAAGTGATTAATTAATGAGCAGTGGGGTTCTTGTTCGTTTTGTTTGTTTGTTTTGTTTTGTTTTCCACTCAGGAACCAAAACCCAAATGACAAAGCTTGAGCAGAGATTTACAAAGCCTTCTGTGCTCTGCCAGGAAGAAAGGAAGTGAAATCCCAGGCAAGCCCAGCATCTTGTAGGTAGATAGAGGGGGCGGCAAGCCCACACATCTGTACCTTGAAGGTCAGAATGAGGTGGCTGAACTGAAATAATGCCTCTAGGTCCAATCTGATGCTGACATGGTCAAGACCTAAAGAAAAATCCAGAAAGAAGAAGATCAGTGATTTCGAGAGACCCCTATTTATCACATTAATCCCTCCCTGTGGCTTGTCTGTAATAAAGCCCTTTGAAATCGCATGGCTGGGGATCCACACTCTTTCCTGGTCTTGTCCAGTGGTTTCCCATGACACTCCACATGCAGAAGGTCTACTTGAGAGCAATATAGGGTTTACCCAGACCGTGCCCACATTCATGTTATGGTGGCTGTGCACACGGCCACTGGGTGGCAGTATCACGTCCCACCAAGGGACTTCCGGGATGTTCCCATAGGTGGACTCATGTCCTTGAACTCACCTCTTGACTGTCCGTAACCGTGAGCTAGCAAGCCAGATCCTGGTAAAAATCGACACACCCTATTCTTCCAGCAGCTGCTTAACGATCACTTGGACTAGTTTTATTGTCACCTAGCATAAAAGACAGCCTGAAATAGTCCCCTTGGAGTAAGGATCTGCGGCTCCTCCGTGACTGAGAAGAAGAAAGAAGTAGCCTGGCCCGGACTTTGCACTGAGATAGTGAGCGGCCATTCACCTTCTGCCCGGACGTGGAGGATGGGCCCCAGCCTGGACGGAACAGAAGCCCTGATCTCTCTAGAGTAGCCCTGTCCAGTCGGAATAGGAGTCACACATGTCATTTAAGATTTTCTAGCAGCCACACTTTAAAAAGTACGAATAAGGGGTGCCTGGGTGGCTCAGTCATTAAGCGTCTGCCTTCGGCTCAGGTCATGATCCCAAGGTCCTGGGATCGAGCCCCACATTGGGCTCCCTGCTCAGTGGGAAGCCTGCTTCTCCCTCTCCCACTCCCCCTGCTTGTGTTCCCTCTCTCACTGTGTCTCTCTCTGTCAAATAAATAAAATCTTAAAAAAAAAAAGTACGAATAAGCAGGTGAAACTAATTTTAATCTATTGAACCCAATATATTAAAAGCATCTCATTTCAACATGTGGTCAACATTTTTAAAAAAAAACTAATAATGCTTTCTTTTAACTATTAACAATGTTTCATTTTTTCCAAACGAGGTCTTAGAAATCTGGAATGGTTTTACACCAAGAGCACATCTCAGTTTGGATCGGCCATGTTGTTAATGCCAAGGAGTGCCCAGGGCGAGGGGCTCCGGGACCAGACAAAACAGCTCTGAGAGCACTAACTGGGCTGCAGCAAATGGGAAGCAGTCTTCTTCTTCTTCTTCTTTTTTTTTTTAAGATTTTATTTATTTATTTGAGAGAGAGAATGAGACAGAGAGAGCACATGAGAGGGGGGAGGGTCAGAGGGAGAAGCAGACAGCCGGCTGAGCAAGGAGCCCGATATGGGACTCGATCCCGGGACTCCAGGATCATGACCTGAGCCGAAGGCAGTCGCTTAACCAACTGAGCCACCTAGGCACCCAGGAAGCAGTCTTCTTAGAGGGTGAACCACTCAGGAAGGTTTGCAGCTCAGAGGGCAGCCCCATTCCCGGGTCAAGGGCTCCTCATCCTTTCTAGAAAGGAGATCTCCTTTCCCCTCTCGAAAGTTCTTGGCTGAGAACCCTTGTTCTATGCAAACAACTCTGACAGAGGGGCACTCTGTCTGTGAGGAGATGTGGGACAAATGCTGGGCACGTGGTTTAAAACAGCTGTTAAGTGGGGCACCTGGTTGGCTCAGTTGGTTGGGCTCAGGTCATGATCCCAGAGTCCTGGGATCGAGCCCCACATCGGGCTCCCTGCTCAGCAGGTAGTCTGCTTCTCCCTCCGGCCCTCCCCCTGCTTGCACTCTCTCTCAAAAAAACCAAAAACAGAAACAAGAAGGAAAACAGCTGTTATGCAAAAATGGCATCAGTGAAGGCAGGTGGCTGTGGCAGAGGCCTTCCCATGCACTAAGGAGAGCCCAACTAGAGATGAGTAACTGGGGTCCAAAATGGGCTGGCATTTAGTAGACACCAATCACATACTTGTCGAATGCGCAGCAGAGAAAAACAGCCTCATATTATGCTTGCCCTATATATTATGATCCTATACATTATGATTATTCCCATGTTCCCCTAATGGTCTAGGATCCCCTGTGGGAAGTAGGCTTAGGCGTCTGAAGAGGATAGAGGGATTGTAGCCCCAGGACAACATATAGAGATGTGGCAAATGGAATCATTTTGTGGGCTGAGGGTCCCAGATGGGTGAAGAGGAGCCATCATGAGTGAGCCAGCTACATTCATTCAAGCACGTAAGGCCCAAGGCTGGGGTGGGACGGGAGGAACCCCAGTCGGGTCCTGATAGGGGCACCTCGGAAATACGGACGGTCAGAGCCAATATAAGCTTCAATACCACAGTTGTTCATGAACAGAGAAAAGCACAAATCCAAGAAGGAAAGACCTTTAGTTAGTACCAACTATCCTTTCAATTCAATTTTTACATGAAAATATTTGGCTTGCAGCAAGAAATGACATGTTCTTTTTCTCTCTCCCTGCATGTACTGCAGAAGGAAGAAGTATGTGGTGATAACTCTCAGATTTCCCCCGGGGCATCCTTAATTCCATTTACATCAGGGTGTTTTATATTAGCCTTCATTCACCAGCACCTTGTAAGTGGCCTATTTTTTTCTTTTTTTTACAAAGAACAAAAGAAGGCACAGATGTTTTCTTCCCGCACATGGAAAGAGTGAAGCACCCAGAGTTAGGTGCTTAAAATACACTGAGTTCTCTGGAGGAAAATAACCTTTCCTGAAATGAAAATCAAGTTTGTTCTTATACGGGGTTTTACATTCTCGGTGGAGGCTGTTCCATTCCAACAGGGCTCCTTGCTGTGAAATTGTTACAATCATACAGAGTGAAAGACAGCTTATTAAAAATGTAAAGAAATGAAAAACTGGAAAGGAACTCAATCATACCATTTTCAGATTGCCACCATTTCTTTTCTCTCTCTGGTTCAAAACTTGTAATTACGTTCTCAATGGTGTGGCTGTGGGATTGGGTGTATGGGTCGTGTGGGAATCTCGAGTCGCAGATGAAGCATTTCTGCTCCCCCTGGAAAAGCCCATCATTTAGATAAAAAATAGTCAGAATTACTTATTGTTGATCTGAATTTGAAAACAAGCTGTACTTGCTATATTTATCTTTCAATCTGGCTAAAAATAAAAAGCAGAGGAAATAACGAGACATCAATTTTTCCATCAATAGGTACTTAACAATGACAAATGCAATAAAAATATGACCCAGAAATTTGATAAATTGATATATTTGGGGTAAAAATGCAAATTTATGCGGAACTAATTTTTGTCTTACACAAGAGGCGGATGATCTGGAACTTATGTTAAACTGTAGAGAAATAAACAGGATACATTCCTTGAGGGATTACTCTCTTTAGTCAGAAAACGAATATTTGGCAAGAAATTAATGAAACACTTGGCCACCAAGTTATCTGCAACCATCCTCCTTTCTCTCTCAGACTTAGTTTTTGGCAGAAAAACTTCCATGATCAAAACCTCTACGTTTGTGGATTTTGTAATATGTGGATTTTGTAAAAGATTCTCATGAACTCGTAACAGAGAGGTCTGCCCCCTTGTCTTGCAGACTAGAAGGCCTCATTAGTCAATTGGCACTACTTTACTTGGAACGGACTTCCAAAGGTTGCAACAGCCAAGACTGGCCTTTGAGTTTGCCTAACTTAATGCATCTAGCAGCCACATTTAAAAATTGAGTCGTCCCTCGATTCCCTCAACTCTGGCTGCACTCACTTCTTGCTCTTCCTTGAGTTCACCAGGAACTCCACCGCCTTACAATCTTGACACAAGCTGTTCTCTGCTCCCCTTTCCTCCAGCCCTCAAAGAGCCCCATCTCTTGCTCCTTCCCTTCTCTGGGGCTCTGTTTAACTGCCCTCCTCTCAGATTTCTATCTAAAATACCGCCACCTCCCCACCCTTACGGCCTCTGCCACTCTCTGTTTCTTCCTCCGCTTTGTGATATTTTCTAAGCCTATAACACCACTTGAGACTGTATTGGATAGTTGTTGGATTATTGTCTGTCTCCATCATTAGAATTTAAGCCGAATGAGGGCGAGGACTTTGTTTCATATAAGGTTGTATCCTCCTTACCTGCAACAGTGTCTGGCACATAGTAGATGCTCAATAAAATTTGTTGACTGATTGCATGGTGATTTTAATGACTATTTCAGCTAATGTCTGTCAAAGTAAACCAGCCTTTCAAGAGGTCCATATAATCTCTTTAGAATCACTGGCCACCATAAGCCTTATACTTGCAAAAAACACCAAAATGCCTTTTGGAAATTAAGGAGCGATGGAAGCGAGATCTATTCTGCATATGGGGAGGCTTGCCCCAGACCTGTCCTGAAAGGAGAGCGGAAGCTTTATGATTCCATCAAAAGATGTCAAGACTTCAAAAGATTTCTAGTAAGACTATGGAAATTATTAGGGAAAATGTTTAACTTTGGGGCTTATTCTGTAAATATTTTAGGAGCATACCCTTGATGGACCTGGCTACACAGGATGCTTAGTTGCAGGAACTGGATGGGGGAGTCCCAACTTGGGTAACGCTATGGGTCAATGTTGATTTGAAGCTTCCGAGAAGAATGTTTGGCTTGGTAGCGATTTGTTAGACAATGGATGGGGAAAAAAACCATCCTCTGGGCTGCACAAATGTTTAAGTAGACCAGTCCTTGTAGCCCCACCCAGAATACTTGGTCAGCCTGAAGACATTTTGAGATTTTTTTCCAGCTCTAAGATTTTAAGATTTCTGGCATTCTCGAGACAAAAGAAACCTTGAAGTCTGATTTACTTCTACTTTTGGTGGTGTGACTTTGAAAGATAGGAGTATCAAGTCCTAATTATTGTCAGGGTATGGCATGAGTTGGCCAAGGCAACAGTAAGCAAAATGTCAGTGTTTGGAGAACAAGATGTGTGATGTCAGGGTTGGAGAGTTTCTAAGATTAGAGCTGAGAACCATTTCTTTGTCCAGAGGGCCTGGAATTAGTGAAGTCACTGGAAGGGCCATCCATCCCACCTGAACAAAACTTCTACAGTGTCATTTCCTTGCACATGTAGAGAATTTGCTTTCTGACACATGTCCTCCCCAAACTTAGAACAGAGCTAAGCACTCAGGTATTGTCTCCACTTATTTATAATCATCCTCTTTTACTAGAAACCAATTAGAATACAAAGCATTTCCCAGAGACCTCCAGGAGCTGCTTTCAATGAACAATACATGGAAAAGCCTGGGCCGCAATCATTAGGCTTATGTCCAACTTCCTTCCTGCACATCCTCTTAAATAAGGGGTTGACGTGATTGCCCCAGGCTCCTCGGCAGGTAGGATACTCAGATGACCTTGGATGCTTGTTCTGCTCCCAGAGCGTGGAGAAGGAAAAAACCGTAAAGCAGCTGGTCCTTTTATAGAACTGGTCTTTAAGGGGGGAAAAAGAAAAGGCACAAAAATATGTTCATATTGGGATCTTTTGGCCTATTAGACAAGACAATTTCCAAGTGGCATCGTGAGGCTGGCATGCCATCAATTCAACATACTACCCCCCACTCCTCCCCCCAAGGCAGGACAATGAGAACTCACATTCAGCGTAATGGCCTTGAGACCCTGAGGGATCTTCAATCTTCACTGATGGGTCAATTAAATTTACTCTCTAGGAGTCACTAATGCAGTTAAATAGAACAGTACATTGCATAGTAATTCCCTTCGAAGGCTGAACCAAGGAGGCTTTTCTAATTCTAAAGGTAAAAAGAAAGAGATGAAGCAGATCTTCCCTTTTTTCTGATCAGTCAAGGGCTTCTGGACTTGGAATCCTATCACCTGTGCCTCTGACGTTCAGGAAAGGGTGACGTGTCCTCCTTTCATGTTGCCTGGCTGGCCCCCGATACACTTAGAAAAATCTATGTCATCAACTCAATAATGTCCCAACAAATAAACAAAGAACAAACACACCTCGAGGTAGCTGAGAATGCAGTACTTCTGGGCTCCGTCCAGCCCACAGGTAGAAGAAGCCGTGAGCTGTGCGCTGCGACCCACCAGGAGATCACCGGTGGTGGGGTGACAGGAGCCCCCTTTGCATTCATCTTGGGCTTTCGTGTAACCGAGCAACCCTTGAACACAACAGACATGGCTGCACAGAAGGCAAGTCAAAGGGTAGCAGAAGGCTTAAAGAAGCAAGCGGTTAAGTTGGAAAGTTAATAGTCCCATTTATTTTCAAAACCAGTTCTCTGGTTTTCTGGTCATTAAGACCCTGGTTGTGGATACTGTTGGTGCCCTTGGCTTAATGGAAATCTCTTAGCCTGCCAGGCTGTACCATCTGCGTTCATGTCCCCACCTGGGCCAGCCTGTAGCCAGTGACTGACGGATACACAGTTCAAAAGGCTGGCACCATTGCCTCAGGCTGGGAGCAACTCTGTGGTGTGGTTTGTGCTCAGAACCTTTCACAGGAGGAGGGTGAAGCCCCACTCCAGCCGGCACCACATCCTGCCTCCCCTCTCCTCACTCTCTTACTCCTCAGAGCCCTCCCTCACTAAATCACGGACACAGAAATCCCTGTCTCAGGCTCTGCGTCTAGGAAACCTGACTTGAGACAGCCTGTATGTACTAGAAATTCTCTATGTGTCATTTTAGGGCAAATAAAGTGCATAGACACAAGGAAGGAAAATCTCAATCCAGCCTCTTATACTTATTGTTCCAACCTGTACAAAACCAATCGGAGAATTTAAGAAATCCTTGGGAAACGACTTTCTCTTAAAACATGTAAATTCAATTGACCCCGTTTATAACCTGGACTGTTGGGTTCAGATTCACCATGGAACAAATCATGCCCCTTTGGGATATTGTGAGAGATGGAGTTCCAGACCCACACAAATAGGCCCAACTGATTTTTGAGGCACCAAGGCAGTTCAATGGAGGAAGGGTAGCCTTTTCAACAAATAGGGCCGGAGGAACTGGACATCCACAGGCAAGGAAATGAACTGTAACCAAAACCTTACACCTTATACAAATATTAACACAAAACGGATCCTGGACTTCAGTGCACATATAAAACTGTAAAGCTATAATACTCCTATAACGCATGGGAGAAAGACTTTGAGACTTAAGACTAGGTGAAGACATTTTAGGATTGACTACAAGAACATGATCTGTCCAAGGAAAAATCGGTAAATTGGACCTCATCAAAATTAAAACTTTGCAAATTACACTGAGTGGAAAAAAGCCAATTAAAAGGTTATGCACTGCATGGCTCCATTTCTTGAATGACAGAATTATAGAGATGGAGAACAGATTTGTGGTTGTCAGGGATAGGGAGGTAGGGAGGAGGGTGTGGATAGAAAAGGGTTGTACTAGGGCTCCTTGAGGGTAATGGAGCTGTTCGGTATCTTAACTTTGGTGATGGACACATTAATAAAATTGCATAGAATTAAATACACACACATGAGCGCAGGTCAAACTGATACAAGCTGAACAAGGTCAAGGACTATAACCTTGTCAATTGCCCGGTTGTGATACCCCACTATCTTCACACGAGAAGTTACCATCGGGGGAAACTAGGTGAAAGGTGTATGGGGTCTCTCTGTATTATTTCTTACAACTGCATGAGAACCTGCAATAATCTCAAAATAAAAAGTGAAAAAACCCCACAGAATCCTCTGCCCCTTCAAAATCACCCCATCAGCCTCTGGACGGTGAATCAAGTAAACCCTACACTCTAAGATAATATGCACATACATGGCCTTCTCTAGCTGCTCTTATATACTTTTCCCTTGAGACTTGAAGATTTATGCCAAGCCCTGATTCCAGCAGATGGGAGTGAGAGGGATGGGCATAACATGGAAAATTATTCCCATACTATAGAATAAGATTGGTTTCTCTCCGGCTTTCTCAACTGTAAAACAATAAGAATTTTTTTATGGTCTTGTTTTGCATTTAATGGATTTCTTTCCTTCAACTTGTCCTCCAAAAATAGAAGCTATTGAAAAGCAATGTTTTTTCTCTTATGTCCACATTCCCCACATGAACTATTCTAGTCATCTGGTCATTTTGTGATTATTATCAGGCATTAATACATAGATCATAGTTCTACAGCTAAGAATATGATACATAAGGTCTCCTTCTACGCAGGTTACCAAATACTCGTTTGGACGAGGAATTTTCTGTCTTCACTCTCATCGCAAAGATTACTATTATTCCAAAACAGAGGCACAACAGTGCTTTCTCCTTCTTGAAGATAGACAAGTGAAAAAAGTTAGCACCATTGCATACTTTCATTTCACTGTATAATAAATGATCCTACATTGGTTAACATGGATTTTTCCTTTTATTCACCCAACAATCCAAACCCAGATCTCCTTTTATTTCCTCGACTTGACCTCTAGGATAAATAACCAATCAGAAGTTTGGACTCCCAAAGACAGAGGCTTTTAAAGACAAGGTCAGGTATAAAAATCTCTGCTAATGCTGCTATGTGTGGATTAGCTAAGACTTCCCTTCCAGGGATTTAGTCTTCTAGACAAGTTCCATCCTGAATTCTTTTATTGGAATTGCTGCCTTAGAGATTTAACATGTTTTTATAACCTGACTTGGCCTAACTTGTTTTGATCAGATGTGTACTTTTCAGAAATAAAAGTATCCCAGGACTTAGGGAAATCGAACTATTATTATTCATGTAATAGTCTAAATGAGAATATGAATTTCCGGCCTCAAATACTTGGCAAAAAGTGGCTAGCAACATAAGCAGTTAAAGCTTCATGCCCGAACACAGATAGCCTTAGCAATACCCTTCTTGGGTTAGAGTTTTCAACTGCCAGATTATCACATTAGCAACAGGCTGGAATTGATTCAGAGAATAAAGACGCTTATGTCTTTAGAGAATCAATGCATTCCTCAAAAACAACATGCGTCTTGAAGATAGGATCTGATTAAACACGAAGTTAGGAGATCTGGTCATTTAAAGAAAATGCACGGCAAATGTTCTGTAAAGTGAAAGATCATTTTGTAGAAATAACCGTTATTATATAATCTCTCATTTTGTATATTGTTTTCATTTTCTTAAACACGTGGGATGTTTTCATATACTTTAGAGATCATGTTGGAGTTTAGAGGCTGTAAACATACACACATTACTTATTATGGGTAAGAAAACTTATAAAGAATGCATGTTAGGTAGGGTTTGTACTTTGTGTGTAGTTCCTAAAACCTGGCCAATACACATATTAGGATTATTTTTCCTAATCTTCCTTAGTCAGAAGGTAAGTCTAAGGGCTTAAATAGGCTCCAGTTTTTATATAAATACCTGTGGTTGAACTACAAACCAGAAAATGCCCAAGCTGATATGTAGGATTAACCTGGTTGGTAGTTTGACCATAGGCAACCCTAGAGACTTGGGTTAGATCAGGGTAAGCTTACGGTTGGAAATCCAGGATCTACTGTAGTGAGGTCTTTTTCTTTTTCTTTAAATTTTTAAAAAAGTAATCTCTATACCCAACTTGGGACTCAAACTTACAACCCCGAGATCAAGAGCTGCACGCTCCACCCACAGAGCCAGCCAGGTGCCCTGAGGTCCTTTTCTGCCCAAGCTAATTTGATTTTGAAGATCTTTCATCCTGAGAGAAAGGTCTCCTGATTGAAGAGGGGTCCCTGAGCAACCTTGCTGTCGTTTAGAATTTTGGCAAGGTGTGAGGAAGTTATCCTACACAGAGGTTCAGGGATCCTCAGTGGTTGCTTCTGATTTTGAACACGAGTTTAGTCCCAAAGAGAGCATCCGAGGCAGATGTAGAAGGAAACAGCTCTTCTCTGGCCATCTGAGGCCAGATCTAAGTTTCATTGTCCTGGGGGAGGCAAGTAACAAGTCTCTGCTCCCAGTGACTTGCGGCTCACCTCTCCAAGGCAGAGAATTTTCAACAGAGAACAAATGAGCATTTCCTACTTTGAGCTCTTCTTTCCTCTACCACCAGCAAATCTAACTGGGAGACTGCCTCAGGGTTTGGGGCTAACAACATTAAAAAATGAGATTCTGAAAGTTTGCTGCCATGAAGAAATTCAGCATGAATCTTTGAAGAGAAGATTCTAAGCAATTTAGTCAGTACTTAATAACTAAAAGCAGGACTGTTATAGAAAAGTCAGGATCAAAGAGAGTAATTGTTGGAAACATCCTCTCTATGACTAATGTAAATTATTCTCAGTTTATTAAAGATGGCAGAGGCATGGAGGATTTGGCCCTTTAGTGGAAAGGAGCTGCGGCTTACTCAGAAGAGGACATTTTGCCTGTAAGTTCTTCACAAGACCTCATTACTGGGACAAGGGCTACATTCAAACAGGCCTCTATTTCAAAATTAAAATGCATTCTACTTGTAAATTAAGAATCTGAAAGTATTTCTACTTTCCTCGGTATCTTAATTTACTTATCTGCTGATAGTAATATTCCATTAAAGATGATTGAAATAGCTATGTGTGGATAGAAAACATATTGGAGTGGAATTTTCTAGTTGCTGGACACAATTATACAACAGAAGAACCATGCAATATATAGAACAGAAAAAAAGAGGTGGGTATGTTTAAAAAACATTTTTACTAAATATTTTAGAACAATTCAGTAAAAGCAGAAAATGGATTTTGACAACTAATACTCACCAAGGTGCAAAAAAAACCCCAGCATAAACTGCATTCTTTTGTCAGGAACTGATTAAATTCAGTTTTGCTAGGTTGAAAAAAAAAAAGGAGGTTAAAGTCAGTCACTGATAGAATCAATAATTGCCATCAACTTTCAGTGATTCTTTAGGGACACAAAATATGTACAGCGCCCAATTTCTTAAAAAGTAAGAGTGCATAAAATTTTTACCAATATTTGTTCTCTATTTGCTTGAAATCAAAGAATGCAATAGTTTGTAGGAACTATATGAAACAAAGACAATTTCATTTGCATATTTTTATTTTAACCTATTTTTGTCCTCTTATTGTTTAGAAAAAATTTTTTAATTATGCAATCAGTATGTACTCATTATTGAAAAAACAGAAAAATCAGACAGGCAAAGCGAGGGAATTATTATCTGTAGTACTACCACCCAGAGACAAGTGGTTAATATCTTGCTGTATGTTTTTCCATAGTGCTTCCCTTCCATGTAAGTATTTTCCAAAAACGATAGCATATTTTATGCTTGTTTCAATCAATGCATCCCAGACATCTCTCCGTACCAGCAAATAGAATTTTACATCAGTAATTTTTCAACCTAGTGAGGGACATCAGGATCACCTGGGGGCTTCCACAAACCAAACTTGTGTCCCCGTTTGCAGATTCAGCTATATCCCCCTAGATGGAGGGCGCCCCCAAGTCCCTGTGTGGGGAAGCCTGATAGGGATGGGTGTGTACATGCCCCGCAGCGGTTGGGAGGAGAGAAGGTAAAATGCTCTCCTGCAGCAGTATTTTTAAATTACTGGATAGTATTCCTCTGAATGCAGGAACCAGAATTTATTTAATGAATCCTCTCTTGGTGGATGTGTGCTTTGTTTCTAGTATTTTCCTGTTCTAGACATTTTTGCTAAATCTTTATTTATATCCCGAATTTTTCCCCAGGATACATTAAGCGGAGTGGAACTAATGGATCAAAGAGCACATGTGTGTTCGGGCGTCTGTGTGCACACAAACATACATGTGTGTACGTAAAGAGTACATACACACATGCATACGTACCGCGTGCACGTAGCTGTGTGCATGTATAAAGCTGATATAACCGCCAAGTTGCCATGTGGACATTTCGTCCCAGTGCACACGCTCACCAACAGCCAACGAGAATCGCTGCTCACTCATGCCCTTCCCAACACGGAGTATTATGAATTTTTAAAGCTTTGTCAATTTAAAGAGCAAAAAATTATACATTGTCCTTTTGGTTTTAATGTTTCTATTTGGGTAGCAGTGAACGTAAAAATGCTTTTCCATGTATTTACAGGTGAGAATTATTTTTGCCCTTCGATCCTTCGAGGCTTTTCCTAGTGAATTCTTTGTTTTCCTCCCTGCCCACGCTCTGAGTCCCCCTAACCTGATGTGCCTGGTGTTCCGCTCTCGGAACTCTCTTCTCATGCTCTTGGCTTTGCCTTGAATGCCACCCTCCTAAACTCAAATGCCAGCCTCCTTACGAAGTCTTTTGTTTAAATGCCTGATTTTAGGCGAATTTCCTTCTGTGACCCAAGTTCTTCCCCCAGCCTGGGCTTCATTTTGGATGTCCCAATGTCATAAGAAGACAGTCACTGAGAAGCAGTGCCCCCCGCAGCATCTCCAACTGATAATGAGTCCTCTCTCTTACAGTCTGTGATTTTGGACTGCTCCCTGTATACCAAACCTTGTCAAGACCTACAGGAGAATCCAGAACGGAGCCTTCAGAAGGTCCATTCTGTGTGGGTTGCTGAATGCCATTGAAATTATGAAATTACACAGCATCTCTGCTTCTCTCCAGTGGGGAATCCATTCACAGGGCAGATTCCAAACTGAAACACTGTTTCCAACTACCGACCGAGGGCTAAAATCTCCCTCCTTTGGGAAGGTGGGAGGGACACAGATGGCACAATTCTAATGACCCAGGTTTAGAGAGAAAGGAGAAGACTGCCATGTTGACCACAGGAGCAAAAGCTCGTGTGAAAGGAATGCCTTTGGAGACAAACCATAAGAAACTCTTAACCATAGGAAATAAACTGGGGGTTGCTGGAGGGGAGGGGGTGGGGGATGGGGTAACTGGGTGATGGACGTGGGGAGAGTATGTGCTATGGTGAGCACTGTGAATTGTGTAAGACTGATGAATCACAGACCTGGACCCCTGAAACAAATAATACATTATATGTTAATTAATTGAATTTAAATTAAAAAAAAAGAAAGGGATGCCTTTGGCAGAGCACGGGGTGGGGGGAGGGGTGGGGGGGACAAAACTTCCTAGTATCACAGTTCATCACACATCTGTGAAGCAAATAAACTCCTGGGAATTTTGTCAGTCTATGAAGTATCTTCAAGCAACAATAAAGATCATGATACAAGGAAGTGAACCTCCCAGCAACTGCTCCGAAGAAGAGAGCAACCTCCCTGACCTGCTCCGAAGAAAAGAGCACTAGAAGGCGAACCCAAGCTAGACTAGAATAGATACCATTCTCTTATTCATAATTGCTCAACGCGTATCACCAGCTCCTCAGTGCAGAATTACCGGGCTTATCGATAATTCCCCTGCTGGCTGAGCACTTCCAAAGCCCTGGCCGCAGCTCAGAAACCCCTGGCAAGATTATTTTTTCATGACTTCTTTTTAAAAATATTTATTTTCTGATACAATACACATAACATAAAATCTACCATCTTAACCATCTGAAAGTGGTTAAGTACAGTCACAGTATTGGGCAGCCAATCCCCAGAACTCTCTTCATCTAGCAAAACCAAAACTCTGTACCCATGAAAGAGCTTGTCAGTCTCCGGTCCCCCCAGCCCCTGGCAACCACCGATCCAGTTTCTGCCTCTATGAATCTGACTACTCCAGGTACCTCATACATGTAGAATCATACGGTATCTGTCTTTTTGTGGCTGGCTTGTTTCACTTAGTATGATGTTTTCGAGATTCATTCGTGTTGTAGCATGTGTCAGAATTTCCTTCTTTTTTTTTTTTTTTTAAATTTTTATTTATTTGTCAGAGACAGAGAGAGAGCACAAGCAGGGGGAGCAGCAGAGGGAGAGGGAGAAGCAGGCTCCTCACTGAGCAAGGAGCGCGATGTGGGACTCGATCCAGGACCCTGAGATCATGACCTGAGCCGAAGGCAGACACTTAACGACTGAACCACCCAGGCGTCCCAAGAATTTCCTTCTTTTTTAAGGCTGAATAATATTCCATTGTATGTACGGGGTAGATTTTTAAGTGACTGATGCTCAGGCCCAACTCAGACCAATTCAGTCAGAATGGCTGGAGTGGGACCCAGGTGCCAATATGTCCACGATGCCCCCCAGAGGATTCTCATATGTAGCCGGGGCGGAGAACCACCGATGGCTCGTGAACACCTAAAACTCATCAACTTGCCCACATACCTGCCCTCCTCCTGGATTCCATTCTAAGAGAAGGGCATAACCAATGGCTCCAAATGTTGCTGCACATTTGAATCTCCTGGCCTGCTTTACGCGTCCTGCTGCCCAGGGGACATTTTATCCCAAACAAATCGGAATATCCGGGGGTGGGGTGCCAGCAACAGTGTTTTTTGTTTTGTTTTGTTTTGTTTTGAATTCTAGGTAATTCCAACGTGCAGCCAAGTCTGGGAGCCACTGGGGTAACCACAGCCCGACTTGCTTAGGCCACAACGTTGAGGGTCATCCTTGTTCCCTCCCTGTCATGCTTCCGAATCTAAATTTGATCTCCTCTCCTTAAACAGTCATTCTCACTGTGTGGCCCATGGATTTAACAAGGTGACCAGTTCATCCCAGTGTGCAGGGGACTTTACTCGTGTTAGCACCAAAAGTTCCCAGGTCCTTGGAACGCCCTTTGGTCTGGGCAAATTCAAAAGTTGGTCACCCTACTGGATCAGCGGCATTAGCATCACCTGGGAACTGGTTAGAAATGCAAATGATCAGGCCCCGGCACTAGACCCATTGATTCAGAAAGTCTAGGGATGGGGCCCAGCACCATGCCCTTTTACAAAGCCCTCCAGATGAGGCTGATGTATGCCCAAGTTTGAGAACCACTGCTCATCAGTAACTGCCGGGTCCAAACGCTGAAGACCAGAGCTGCTGCTGCTGGGACAGCAGTAACACCTCACAAGAACCTAATCTGTGCATGTGCATTCCCAGCTGTCTGCCTGGGCTGGGTGGCCCCCCACTGAAGGCACTGCAGGTCCAGGCTGTGGTACTGGGGGGACAGAGCAGGCAGGTGGGGGCACCTTTCAACCCGTCATGCCACTGGGCTCTGTAGATCGTGCAAACAAGGCTAAAGCAGCCCCAGCAGGGATGGCCCCTTTTTACTGCTGAATAATATTCCATTATATGGATGGATATACCACTTTGTTTAGCCATTCATCAGTTCATGGGCATTTTTCTCTACTTTTTGGCTATTATGAATAATGCTGCTATGAACATTTATCTACAAGTTTTTGTATGAATGTATGTATTTTCATTTCTCTGGGGTAAATGCATCACCGTAGAAAAACACTGTTTTCTTAAACTAATGTTACGACCTCGTCTAAACCTTTCTCATAGATTGTAAGCACTTGAAGGCCAACATTCATCTTCTTTTCCCCAGAGGTACGTAGAAAAATACCAAAAACATTTGCCGACTTGAAGTCATTGCAGTTTGCATTTCTTTTTCTGTTTTTTAATTTTTTTAATTTTGTTATGTTATGTTAGTCACCATACAGTACATTATTAGTTTTTGATGCCATGTTCCATGATTCATTGCTTTCGTATAACACCCAGTGCTCCATGCAATACATGCCCTCCTTAATACCCATCACCAGGCTAACCCAGCCCCCCACACTCCTCCCCTCTAAAACCCTCAATTTGTTTCTCAGAGTCCATAGTCTCTCATGGTTCATCTCTCCCTCCGATGTCCCCCCCTTCATTTTTCCCTTCCTTCTCCTAATGTCCTCCATGCTATTCCTCATGTTCCACAAAAAAGTGAAACCATATGATAATTGACTTTCTCTGCTTGACTTATTTCA